TCATAATTTTTGTACGAAGCTGGAAATGTGGATTTATGTGGCGCTAATGTGCAAGACTTATAAAAAAATTATAAACATTAAATAAACAAGAGAAAAGTAGCCAAAACTGACTTAATTTATTCACCTGACCATAAGGGTATGAATGGGTTTACTTTCTAAGCAACAAATAAAGAATATTAGTAGAATTTTGTCTGTCCTGTAAAGTGTCTTTGCACCTGATAAAGGTTTACACTCTAGGGTGACGATATTCTATCTTCATTGTGGTGCATATGCATGTACATTAGGCTGTCTCAAAAAAACAGTAAAATCAGAATATTAAAGCTCTCACCCTCTAAGAGTGTTCTATACCGAAATAAATTACATCCCAGTTCGTTGTTATTTTGAAACCAAAAGTATTCAGAGGTCGCTTAAAGTTTTCCATGTATTTTATATGGAAAAAACAAATTTTCGTTGAAATGGTCTGTTAATGACAAAACTTTGTTTCTCTTCAGGAGACCCATAAAAAACCCGCTAGTAATAAAAAGTGGTAAAATAAGCAACTGGGTATTATTATTGGAAGTCTCCTGAAGAGAAACAGAGTCTTCTGATCGAAAAATATTTGTTGAATTTTCCTAGATTCTGTATAAAGTTTGAAATTTTGATTTATGTGGTTTTAATTACAGCCTAAACCATATTTTTATAAAAAATAACAAAAAAAATTTAACTTGAAAAACATTATTTCTTTTTTGTTATTTTTTTGGCCTTTTTAAACATTTAAACATTTTAAAAATCACCATGCACTCATTTTTTATCGCTAGTATTCTTCTTATTAGGCGCTGTAGCCGCCTAAGCGATTTTGGCCGAGTATAACAAAGCACGCCAGAAGTTTCCTTTCTGGGCCAACTGGCGCCAATTGGAAATGCCAAGTGAAGCCAAGTCCTTCTCCACCTGGTCTTTCCATCTCAGTGGGGGCCTTTTTTCTTATTCTACTACCACCAGCGGGTTCAGAGTTGAATACTTTCAGAGCTGGAGCGTCGGTGTCAATTCGAACGACATGACCAAGCCAGCGAAGCCGCTGTATTTTAATTCGCTGCACTATGTCCATGTCGTTCTGAAGCTCATACAGTTCATTGATTCATCGTCTGCGGTACTCTTTCTCTCGAATGCTCCAAGAGCCGCCTAATCGGATGTAGTCATTGTCCATGCTTCTGCGCCATATACCAGCACGGGCATGATGAGTGACTTATAGAGAGTGGCTTTCGTACGTCGAGAGAGGACTTTACTCCTGAATTGCCTACTCAGTCCAAAGTAGTACTTGTTGGCAAGAGTGATTCTGCGTAGGATTTCCATGCTGACATTATTAACGGTTCCCAAGTAAACGCTGGTTCCCAAGTAAACGAAATTCTCTACTTTCTCGATATTATAACTGTCAACAGTGACGTGGGTGCCAAGGCGCAAATGTGCGTACTGTTTGTTTTTGACAGGAGATACTTTGTCTTGTCCTCGTTTACCACCAGACCCGTTCGCTTTGCTTCCTTATCCAACTTGGAAAAGGCAGAACAGACTTCGTGGTTTTTGTTACCGATGATATCGATGTCATCGGCATAAGCCAGCATTTGCACGCTCTTGTAGTAAGTTGTTCCTGAGCGGTTCACTTTTGCAGCTCTTATTATCTTCTCCAACATCAGATTAAAGAAGTCCCATGAAAGATAGTCGCCCTGTCTGATGGCACGTTTGGTGGCGAACGGCTCGGAGAGGTCTTTCCCAATTCTGACGGAGCTGGTGGTTTTGCTCAACGTCATTTTACACAGCCGTATCATTTTGGCGCGGATTCCAAATTCAGACATAGCGGCGTATAGGAGACTCCTTTTAGTGCTGTCGAAAGCAGCTTTAAAGTCGACAAATAGGTGGTGAGTGTCGAGTCTTTTCTGAATGAGGCCCAATCAGTTCATTGCCGGTGGGTTCAGTCTTTCACACAATACGCTCGATAAGACCTTGCAACCTATGCTTAGAAGGATGATCCCGCTGTAATTGGCGCGAATGGCGGGTTCGCCTTTCTTGTGGATTGGGCAGAGGGCATATTCTACATTTGATGCACCTTATCAACTCCTCGCCACCGTACTTATCGTTAGTATACATAGTAAAAATGAATACATATTTTGTACTAGTGATCGGTGCAGCTATGCAATTTTACACAACAACAATGAACAGGTAGCAGTCATTCCTGCGTACCTTCATCTTTTTTTGTATTATGACACTCTTGCAGCAATTGTGCGATATGTGTCCTTGCCACACTTTAAATCACTATTTTTTTACGTTATTTATTTAGTTGAATTCGCATTTATTCCCAAAGAAGCTCCGTACTCGCCGATCTAAATATGTATGCCCTAGAAATATGAATTGCCGTTTTGGACTTATTCTGAAAAGGCTTTCTGCTAGACCTACATGTATATAGTATCCAACGTCTACACAAAAAAAAGTTGTCATCAGGACCTATTTACCAGTCAACGTGAAGCTTTCGAGTATCTATTTTTACGCGGTAATCTCGAAAACTACTGAACGGATTTTGACGAGGTTTTCTCTAATATACTCTGTGTTTTTAATAAGAATTTTAATATGGTTGTCACCTGTCTAAAAACTATAAGAAAGATGAGAAAAGATGAGGCGTCAAATGAAAGGGATTGGCCTCTAGAAAAGCACGGATGTTTTATTTTTTGAATAGGGTTGCCACCTCCTCAAAAATTACAATATACAATCATAGTAAGGATTATACAATCTTCTTTTTGGTTGTTTGTGTTTCCGACAGGGTAGGAGTATGATGTATTGTGGAACGACGAAAATTGACACTGAAGATGGCAACGCCGAAACCGGTTTGTCTCCAAACCAAATTTGACAAGGGATGACGGAAAATTATACAATCATAATAATGATTATTTTCTGAGTAGGGTTGCCACCTAATAAAAAGTTAAAAGATTTTCACCGTTCGTTCGATTACAAAATGAGATATCAAATAAAAGGGCATGGCCTTCGCATGTAGAAAAGCTTTAATTTTTTTGAGAAGGGTTGCCACCTATTTTAAAGTTCCTAACTTATCTATGCATTGTATAAAGGAAAGAAGAGATTCTTTGAATACGGTAATCTTGAAAACTACTAAACGATTTTGAGCGAGATTTTCTCTAATATTTTCGGTATAGACAGGAGCGTGACCTTTGGTATGTAGAATTTCTATAGGGTTGCAACCTGTCTAAAAAATTATAAGGCCCGTGCAGTTCGTTAGATTACACAAAGCGAGGTGCCAAATAAGAGTGATTAGCCTTTAGATAAGCAATAGGGTTGCCACCTATTTAAAAATTTCTATCCTAACATAGCATAAAGCAAAAACGACATTTTTTTTACCATGTCAATCCCTAATGTGCCGCCGCTGTGGTGCTGTGGTTGGCAGTGCACGCTACCAGGGCCTGGGTTCATGCCCGGTTCAACCCAATACTAATATATGTATAAGTAAGCTCCAATCTATTATTATTATTAATCTCGAAAATTACTACACAGATTTGGACGAGATTTTGCTTAATATAATCACTATCGATATAATTTGCCACCTCTCTAAAAAATTATAAGATCTGTTCTTTGAAATATAAAAAGTGAGATGTAAAATGAAAAGGCTTGCTCTCTGGATGTTCACTAATTTCTTATTTTTTAAGTAATATGATTTTCACCGTTCATTGGACCAAACAATTAGGTACCAAGTGAAAGAATATGGTTTTCCGATGTGCAATAAGTTTTTTTTTTTTAATGTGGGTAGTATTAAAAATTACTACCATATATATGATACGTGAAGGCATTTCCTGTTAGTGACATCAAATTTATTCAGTTTATTCAAATTAAAAAAAGTGCGGTCTTCGGATGAGCAATAAGGTCGAAAAGGGTTAGCACCTATACGAAAAATTATAAGATGTAGGCTGTTCGTTGGACTAAAAAGTGAGTTGTCAAATGAAAGGATTTGACCTTCAGATGTTCAGTAAGATTTTTTCTTTTGAATAGTGTTGCCGTAAGCTCCGTTCGTTGCATTAAAAACATTAGATATCAAATGAAAATGCTTGGCAATTAAGTGTCCATTAGGGCTTTCTTTTAGTGGGGTTGCCACCTTCTTCTCCAAATGCGTATATTTACATACTTATGTACAATTCAGCGCGTGGCGAAGCCTCGCACTTACGAGGCCGGCTAGTCTTATACAAAAAATAGTTTTCGTTGTTATATTGAAATATTTTTCGTTGCTTTAATAACCAAACAAATAACCAAAAAGACTATACTGGTCCCAATTTGATGTTGTTAAGGGTAAAGCTCGTGTGTGGGTGCGTGGGCTTCCTATTGGCAAAGGTATGCGAATAAACGACGCATAACTTCCGCCCTGCTTCATTGTGGCAAGGGTTGAGAACCACGGCCTTACAATCTCTGAGCTAGATAGGGCCGCCACAATGATAGCCACGCAAAGGGGCGTTAACGTGTACGTGACATATATAATATATAATAACCAAATTACAAACATAACATTTTTCAATACACTTTTTATATTATTAATTGTTATACTGACACCGCAAAAAGATACTGTTTCAAGGTTTATTTTAACACAACGTGTAATAAACCAATAGTGATATTTTTTTTAGTGTAAATATGTCATAAAAATAATACTAAGATAGCAAGATAATAACAAGTTTTTTCACCGACACAAAAAAAAAGTTTGTACTTTCAATGAGACCATCCTATCCTTACCACCAAATGACCGGGTAAATTGCATATTTGCTATTTTTCACGTTTTTGGATAAGTACAGACAACTTTTTTGTGTGCCGGTGTTAAGATTCTGCTCCGTGATATCTTATACATTGTAAACAATTTTGTACAAACCCAAAAAGGGGATAATGCGTGAAGATTAAAGAAAACAAAACACTATTTAGCAAAACTTTTTCTTTTCAAATATCTCGTTTAAGATAATTTATTTTATCCGAAATTTTACTTTTTTCAGTATCCGCCACTGCTCGGTGTCATATTTTGTTAATTTGGCACATTTTTCTGGTAAAACGGATTTCAGAGCCTTGTTGGATGAAATATTACATTTAAGGTGCGTATTGAAAGAGTTTCAGTAATTCAATTTAAAATATTTATGATATGTAAAATAAGTTGTATTTATAATCTTCATCAAACATTTCGCTTTACATACATGCATAAATCCTGCTCCGCCTATTTAGGCTAAGCTTCTTGTTCACTGTACATATGTATTTATTTAGTAATTCACACTTTTCGGTATACATTTTTACATATGTACATTTGTACATATGTATTTTTTTTTTATGAATTGCGGTGGCATTCGGCAAACAAATTTTGCCAAACAATTTCCCTTAACAGAAAAGAGAACAAAAGAGCCCTTTGGGAAATAACAAAACAAAACAATGTGCACTTTTAAGGGCAGATAAAGCACGTAAATATGTACGGATACGTAAGTATACAAACATATTTACAATACTTACACATGTATGTATGTATGTACGTATACATATGTATGTATGCATAAGGATATATGTATTTACTTAGTAGATATTTGAATAGCTTTGCTTTGCTCCGCCATAAACGTTTGTTTTTGGCATTTTTGGCGAATTTTCATCTGTTTTTCCAATTTTCATGAAGTCGCCCTTCGCCTTCCCCCGTAGCATATTTTCGATAGTTCGCTTATTTTGTTTGAACATATTTCGTGAATACTTGCATTTCCCCAACCTGACTTTCGAAACTATGTTGTGCGTATGGGGGTATGTATGCATGTATATGTGTGTATGTATTAGCACTACATATGTATGTACATCAGTGTTGTTATTTTCCTATACTCTCACGAAAGCTTTTGTAGTGAAAATTTTCGCGCACGCTTCAGCTAAATGTCAGCTGACATTAGCAGATAAGAAATTTTTAACGTGTTTTCGGTTTACTTCCGCTTTCTACTTAACCACCCTCTGCACAATTACGTGCGCTGGCATACAAGAATTGCCGTAAACCATGCCGTATGTATGTACATACTACATATCGTCGATTAAAGTACAAAACCGCGTATCGTCATTCTGCAAAACCGCGTAACTGACATCTGCTGTCAAAAATTGAATTTGCTCATACAAGCTCTTGGCTCAATCCTTATCCATTTGTCCTGAAATATATTAGCCAGAATTGCGATTGCTTTATAAAAAAGAGAACCGATTTTAAATACGAGTGTTTTTGCTCTCTAGAAAATAATTTATATAATTCACATACGTGGTTTTGCATTATCTTGATACGCGGTTTTATATTTTGTTGATACGCGGTTTTGTACTTTAATCGACGATATGTAGCCTTCAGCCACCCTCAATATCCCAGCATAAATATTCTCTCAAAGCGTTAGTTCCGCACTACATCTTTTTGTAACTCTATTCGAATTAGTGCAATTCGATTGTAGAGTAACCGAAAAGTAATTGCATACAATACCATACATTTTATTATTTTATCAACAGCAATTAGATAAATTCAAATTTCAAAACGGACAATAAATAATTTAGGCAGTGTGAGATGAACCCGCACAGTTTAATCAGCTGTTTATCTAAATTGAAGCAGTATTGAAAATTTCCAGGCGAATTCTAATTGAGGTGTCAAAATTTAGACCAACCCGCACACAGCCTTAATACAATTTTACTTATTGACTATAAGACTACGGCAAAACGGCCGTGAAATTGTTTAAATTGGAGACAGTTAAAAATTGTCACTTTGGCATCAACGTTCTGAAAGTCAAAGAGTTTGGATTAACCGACTAGTTCGCTCTTTTGAGGTGAACTCTGCACAGCTGCTAACAACTTCGATTGCTTACAGGGTCTTCACTGATCAACATACAACTGCACAGAAACAACCACAAACTCTCAGGCACCCACACACCCGAACTGTGTTTTCCACAAAATCATTGAAATTAAAATGTTAGCGAATTTTCGTTTTGTGCTTTGTGCCGGTTTTCTTTCTAATATCGTTTATGTAGTTGTTATTGCTGTTGTTCATATTATTTTTGTGTGCATACAAATTTATGCATGCCTACATATGTACATACGTAAACGTCTATGGTTTTGCTGTTGTTGCAACTGTCATTAGCAGCGGCTTTGTGTGCATGGATGTTAGCGGAGTGGGGGTGAGCGCACCATCGCGGGAAAATTTACCGCGGCATTTGAAAAACTGATTTCCTGCCTTATCATAAGCAAACGGCACTTGACGCCCTCACCAGCAGTCATCTCTGCATAGTCCATTCGCGAATTCAGCGACCCAGTCAGTGTTCATGTCATAATTCAAATTGAGTTTGCTGTACAACAATTGATGTAGTGATCTTTTTTCATTCCAGATCGACTGTTTGTGATTTTCGTTGAAAACACATCTGTATATTACGTGCACATTTTTATATTTCCACAAGTAAAATTATATACACACCTACATATGTACATACATACATACATATTTATGTATTTAAGTAAACCAACTTGTTTGAAATTGGTATGCAGTTTGCTATAAGTGAAGCAATGGGAAATAGTTAGTCCTGTAAAAAATCGCTTGACACTAAGCCTGCAAAAATTTAGCCAACTAAAAACGGCTGAGTGTTAGAGGGGCAATAGGCAATAACTCCATATGCCGTTATTTTACTTCGATTTGAGAAATAAGGCCATGTGACTTTATAAAGTAAATATTGTCTCTTTAGCGGCGGTCCGCTTTGGTTCGTCACCCCACGCCACGATCGCAAAAAATTGTTCTTCCTTCATTGTTCGTGCTTTTGATGATATAAATCTGTGGTCACAAGCAATAACCGCCTAAGTCGACTTAAGAAAGAATGGAGTTATATATGCTATCGTATTCTTCAACCCCTATTCCACGCGTACGTGAAATCCCCATCTCGCCAACTAGGCTACTTAAAAAGTTATGGGCGAAAATATTTTGGTTTCCCCATAGGGATAACATTACAAACCAAATGTTTAAAACGTTTTTTCTCGAATTGAGGTTTTTCAACTTAAGCGGTTATTGCTTATAACCACTGAAATGTCGGTAGCTTAGAGTGAAAAGTTGCTAAATCCACTTTTTATGGAAACTCATATTTAGAGAAATTTAAAATGCATTGTTTCGAAAAGGATAAAGGTACACTGCTATCTCGGTAACCCGGTCATGCTGCAAATTAGGGTTCTACTGGACCGCTTCGGAAAACCATTAGAAAGTTTGTTTCGTGTAGATGATGAGAGTGGTTCATGGTGCCGTTTTGATACATTCGAATTTTGCATACTTTTTTTGTACTCATACAAATTCGGATACCTTCCTAATAGGCTTAGGGAGATTACGAACTACAGAGCGAAAGAGCCAGCTCATTTAATTGAACAACATAGTTCATTCGTTTTTTCGTTAAAGAGAACTAAAACTTTCTGTG